TGTCCGGCAGATCATTCGAGGTCTACTTGAACAATGTCCCCTCTGATACGTTCAACGTTGATGCAGGGGTCCCTCAGGGTAGCCTGCTTGGGCCTATCCTATTCAACATTTTCACGTCAGACGTTCCTCCCCTGACGGGTGGTGGTATCCTGTATATGTTCGCAGATGACACCTCCATCATCTATAAGGGTCGAGTGGTCCGTGCTCTGGTGAGTAAACTACAATCAGGCCTGGATGTTTTGTCCGACTATTTTAAGAGCTGGAAGATTTGTATCAAGCTAAAACACAAACCATTTTGTTTCAACACACGTATTCACCTCGGCTTGTTCCGCCTGCTATCGTCAAGATCCATCTTGAAAGCACTCCCATGGAATGGTCGAGTGAAGTAGTCTACCTTGGTCTCACCCTTGATAGCAAATTGCTATTCCGATCCCATGTGGACAAGACATCCACCAAGTGTAACATCTTGATCAGGTCGCTCTACCCTCTGATAAACAGGAAGTCCACCCTGTCCCTCAAAAACAAGCTTGCTGTCCACAAGCAAATCATTTTGCCGGCTATTGAGTATGGTATGCCAATCTGGGACAGTTGTGCTAAGTGCTACCACTTAAAGCTTCAGAGGATCCAAAACAAGATCCTCAGAATGATCCTTAACAGTCCACCGCGAACTCGTAATTCTGAGATTCACCACCTGGCCGGTCTTCAAACACTCAAGGAGCGAAAGACTTCCACGCTGGAAAGGTTCAGAGTCGCCTGTCTGCGATCAAACCACCAGATCATTCGTGGTTTGGCAACCTAGTTTAAGTAGTTAGGTGCTCAAGTAGGTAGGTTATCAAATTTTTAAATTCAAACCAAACCAATCCCACAAAGGGTACCCTGTAAATTTGCGCTAAACGCAATCATCACATTAGAATAACCAATTAACTAGAACAAAGATGAAGAGCCAAAGGCTAACCAATTGAAATGTTAAATCAAATGTTGAAACATAAAAACCCAGAAAATAAACGTAAATTTTACTACTTACTAGCTGTAGCTGCAGCTTTTATTCAGCAACTTAACAATACAATGCCGGAAAAGTTGGCTTATAAAACTGAAAATGTTAGTTGGGATAGTCACTATGAACGGAGTTCCAATTTCTTGGTCAAACCAAGTGAAATATCTTGGATTAGTACTTGACCAAAGATTAACTTTTAAAGATCACATTGAGGACATTCAAGCCAAATGTAACAAATGTATAAAATGTTTGTATCCTCTCATAAACAGGAAATCCAAACTTTGCCCGACGAATAAACTTCTAATATTTAAACAAGTTTTTAGACCGGCCATGCTTTACGTTGTGCCAATATGGTCTAGTTGTTGCACTACCAGGAAAAAAGCACTTCAAAGGATTCAGAACAAAGTTCTGAAGATGATTTTGAAGTTGCCTCCCTGGTACAGTAATACCGAGGTACATAGAATTTCGAATGTTAAGATTTTAGAACAACTGTCCAACAACAACAAAATTAATAATTTAAGGCAAAAATCGTTGCAATCCTCAATTGCAATGATTTATTCCCTTTATACTTAAATAAGATTAAATGTTAGTTTTTAGTTTTAAGATGTCAATTGTTATACTGACATGCAGGTTCAAAAAACTTGTTTAAAATACTGAATTGCCAAGGAAAAACAATGTAAATACACATAGATATATATCATAACAATTAAGGCTGGTAAGTTGCTGTAGTAGCTGGAGCACCTAGGTTAAAATGAAATGTAATTTAAACAAATAAAGAGTAAAAAACCGAATAACTGATGTGAAATAATCGTAGTTTGAATTCGTATGAGAATGTATTGGACACGATGTAAGTAAAATATTGTCAACATTGTATGTAGTTTACTTTGCTTGACGAAATAAATAAACGAATAAATAAATAAAATAATTGTATAGGTATTGCTATGAAAAGAATAAAAAAAGCTAAAGTTGATCTCAATAAGACCAGTAGATACGTAAATCAATTCTACGTTTTCATCATTCGACCTTTCCATCGCAATCCCCATCAAGTGGAAGCTTTTTTGCGCTTTCCCTTTTAATATAAGTGGAGACTTTTCCCCTTGTTGGGTCTGGTTGCCTCCCCTTGAAAGCTCGACCTGCGCACAATTTACTACATACCTATCAGCATCCCGGTTGTCTTGTCGTGGATTTGTTCTTCTTATTTTCTGATAAAAAATCGTTCACACTTATGCCACAACATGCATTTAGCGATAGGACGGAACCTTGATGAAGGAAATATGGTGGAACATGGGAGGAGGAAAGCAACTTTCTGAAATGAAGCAATGTTTATGTAGACACGAAAGATCTGATCGCTTGATGTGCTTGGGATAGGTCTGTTACATCTCAGCGCCACTAGATGGTTCCTATGTGGCATTCTAACGAAAAGGGTGGTGAGCCTAGGCAAAGTTTGTGATGATAAACGAACTGCTATAAACTGAACATTTTCCGACAGGCGGAATTATATGGAGCCATTTGGTTTCATCGGTTCACGTCATCAGTTTTTTTTTTTTACTTCTCAGCCTATCCTAGCTGATAGGGAGAACTTTGATAAGGAAGTATGCTTTGATGGACGAGAAGAGAGGGTGGGTCTTGTATGGACTACCTGGTTCTTATGCAATGACCTCTAGCCAGTAAACTTATGCAGAAATAGAATTCCTGCTGGGCTTTGTTATTTCAGATTAATCAAATATTAATATCGTCCTCGCCGTATGCGCCTTGTGATGTCTAATCTGATTGGCTTTTGAATTCAGTGGCATGGGTGGAGTCGATACGTAGGTGGTAGTAGCTAGTAGGTCATTTGGGGATGGGATGAGGCTTATGGCGAAGATTTCGGCGAAGTCATGAAATATGCAACTGAATAAATATTAGGTTGTTGTTTGCTTTGTGCACGTGTTTATTTACTGTTACTATCCACATGGCGTTTTAGGAATCATATCCCTTATGGAATTTGAGTAAATTAGCTATAAGCGTGATAGCTTGGAGGGTTCAAGGGCAAGAATCTGGTTGTCTATGCGGTTGTGTGACGATATTTGTGAGTCGAGAAGCCACCTAAGCACGGCTTGTATACGGGACTGCTGTTGTACAATGGATACATCTACATTGGTTAATAGGAGGGGTCGAAAACGTTATCAAATGGACTGCATTTTATTTCCCACAAATTTTGAGTGCTTTTAAATTGTAGAATAAAGATGTGCAAAAAGAAGATTTTATCAGCATAGTCATAGTTTTAGATGCTGGAAAAATCGAATTTTGCATACAACATTTTTTTGGCATCCAGTGTTGCATGTATGTAGTTTGGATGTGTCGTATACAACTCGTTGCAGAATTCGTTTTTTTCAGCACTCGTTGTATACCTCTTCGTTGGATAAACTAACACTGAACCAATATGTATTCATGTTAGGAGATGTTCACAAACTATGTAGATAGTGTAGGTTGAGTTGACAATTATCCACGGCGCTTACAAATTAAAAAAAAATGTATGGACTATTGTCTACGCAAGGGGAGGTGGAGGTCAAGAGTCCCAAAAACTGTCTACGTAGTTGATGAACAGCCCAAGAAACATTTGCGGTAGAACTTTGAATATCAATGGTCCCTTTACGATGTCCATGTCATTTGCGCACTGACATTGAGACGAATGATTTTGATATTCTAATTTTGTGAACTTGTACTGAAATCAGGTGACTAGTGAAATTTAGCATTTTTAGGCATTGATATTGATATTTTGCAGCGCTGATCGCGGAATAGTATCATTGTTGTTAGCAATATTTCGTTCAACTAATAATCATGTTCAAGAAGTGTACGATAACACTCGGTGCTGCCAGGATGTTCTGAGGCATAACATTTCTGATCACACCTTCCTTTGGATGGGAAGTAAAGCCGTTGTACCCGTTTCATGAGTTGATGAGTCGATAGGTAGGGTCCAGGTGTGGAAGCTGTCTCCCTGGCGTCAGTAGCATTGGTGCTCAGCACGGAAAAAAAGATCTACGGAAAAAAAAATCAAGGGAAAAAAAAAGAAAAAAAGTGTACGATAACATCGTAGAAAATTATTTCAATAATTTATGCAGGACAATCATATAATATGTATTTTATTTGGAGCGATATTCATCCCAAAAACCATGCCAAAATAAAGGCAAATCTATATAATATTGGGATTGTGATTGATCTGTTTGCAATCTTCAAACGTCAAAAATCAAACGAAGCTATTCCAATGAGATACACATGTTTTCCTCCTAAGGCTGAAAGTCTCGATAATAAAGGAAAAAAATACATGTTTTCCTATAATCCAAACTTAAATTACTGTCCAATAGTTTCTACATGCTAGTTTACACGCGACATATCAATAAACGTCAAAAATTGTTATAAGCAACTGCAATAAAATATACATATATCTTTTAGTGAGCAATATTCGTGATGATTATATATATATTTTACTGGATTTTCTTATAGTGCAAACTGATACGAATTCGCCAACCACCTTCAAAGCAAAGGAATATCATGTACTAAGTATGTGAAATTACGATAGAAATCATTCCATATCGCAGTCATAGTTTTCAAGTGATAATCCAAAGAAATTTACCAATCATCACATAGAATGAATAAATCTTCTGACAGTACTATTTTATAAGATGGATCCAATAAACCGTACAAGTTGATTTGTTTCAGTGTTGTTTATCCAACGAGGCGCCGAAGAGCTATTTAGCTATTTTCATTCGAAAAAAAGTGTTGAAAAGTAGACATTCTGCATCAAACCGTTGTGCAGTACAGTCAGTTGTTTGATTCGCTCGCTCAATGCCAGTGATATTAGTAGTGCTACGCGTTTTTCGTCGTTTCGGTGCATCGTGTGTGATGTCGAGGCGGAAGAAGAAGACAGACTCGAGCCAGGGTTCGACCCCTGCAACCCAGTCTAACGCTGACAAGGCGGCAAAAAGACGAAGAGAGACACATCCGACCGTGGAAGTGTCCATACCCAATGAATAGTGGTCCCCAAGATAACCCCACAGCAATCAACGGTAGTGAGGTCGGTGATTTCGGTGGGTCCGTTGAAAACATGGCCACGGGCGGCCAGAACGGTCCGAAAGTGAAACTCCCACCTCTGGTGGTGAAGTCAGTACCACTCGACAAGCTGGCTCAAGAGATGGTATCCCTTGGCGTCGCTGCCGAGTACAAGCTGTGCGGGATTGGCACGAAAATCATCCTCCACACCAAAGCGGACTACAACAAAGCTTTGGCTTCGCTGAAGAATTCCAAAGTGGAATTTTTCACACACGACATCCCGGGCGACAAGCCATATAAGGTAGTCATCCGAGGCCTTCCGAATTTCGAAACGAAGGTGATCGAAGATGAAATTATCGGCCGGTACAAGCTGGCCCCCATCGCCGTCTTTCGGATCAAGAGGAGGAACGAAAGCCAGAGGAAGTACCAGGATTGCCTTTTCCTGGTACACTTCAAGAAGGGGACGGTGACGCTTAATGCGTTGCAAGCAATACGCTCGCTCTTCAACGTTATCATCCGTTGGGAGTCCTACCGTGGTGGCCGACGCTATGTAACGCAGTGTCAGCGCTGCCTCAACTTCGGGCACGGCACCCGAAATTGTAACATCAACCCACGCTGAAGCTTCTGCACCAAGGACCATGCCTCCTCGAACTGCCCAGATGACAGTTTCTGAGGTTATCAAGTGTGTCAACTGTGGCGGTGCTCATCAGGGCTCTGACAGGCAGTGCCCCAAACGCGAGGAGTTCAAGCGTATCCGAAAGGATGCATCGACCTCCAACCAACCAGGACGTAAGAAAAATAAGTCCCCGACTTTCGGGCCAGGCGATTTTCCGCCTCTTTGAACCAACCAGCAACCGCGAGTGTAACCCGCTCCCCCCAACCAACGGCCGGTGAACAAATTCCACTCCCCCTGGATCCTGGAGAACACCGCCAACGCTAGAAGGTATGTACTCGGTGGACGAGTGTTGGAACATGTTCGTCCATGTTACAAGCGCTTTCCGCAAGTGCACCAACAAGAACGAACAGTTTGAAACTATCGTGAAACTGGCTATGCATTATGGCGTCTAAACCACTATGCATAGTCACATGGAAAACGCTTGCTCCTTAAGAGCAAAAACCATCGAGCTTGCGGACTTCCTCCGCAAGCATACCATCGACGTGGGCCTCCTCACCGAGACCCACCTCAAGTCCGGCGACAGTTGTTGGTTACCGGACCACAACATCATTCGGCTTGATCGTACCAGCTCGTGGGGGGGGGGGGGATGGTGTTGCGATCATCGTCAGAAAAGGGATAAAATACCGCAGTCTGTCCCATATCCGCACCTCTATCATCGAGGCCCTTGGTGTGGAGGTGGAGTCAGCGACTGGATACGTCCAGTTCATCGTCGTCTACTGCCCTCGACAGTGTGCCGCCAGCAGCGGACTAGCAGCTAAATTCAAGAAAGACCTGTCCACCATCACCTGTACCGGTTCCCGCTTCGTTGTTGGAGGAGATCTGAATGCTCGCCATGAGGCCTGGCGGAACTACCAGCAGAACCAGAACGGTCGTCTGCTGTTCGACCATTCGCAGCATAGGCTGTACTCCGTTTGGTTCTCGGACGAGCCAACATTTATCTCACCGACAGGCAACTCATCGACGCTAGACCTGTTTCTTAGCCTTGAACGAACTCAGCTCCGACCATCAACCGGTGGTGGCTGAACTGGACTGCAACGTGGCTCCTGCTTCAAGCCTGCGCAAGGAATACCATCGCGTAAACTTGCCCCAGTTTGGACGTGAGGTAGACAGGCACATCATCGACAACCCGCCGCTTGACTCCGTGGAGGACATCAACCGAGCGTTGGAGGGACTCCACCAAGCCATAACCGTGGCTGACGAGACGTGCGTCCGACGAGTTCCTGTGAGGGGTAAGTTTATTGCCATTCATTCCCACATCCACCTATTGATTCGAATGAGAAATGTTCGTAGACGCCAGTTCCAAAGAACCGGAGATCTAGCGTGGAAACGTGAAATGGCCGATCTGAACAAGGAGATTGCTTCCAGAATGGTCTCACCCCGGAACGAAAGTTTCGGCCGGTCATCCAGAATTTGGAGGACCGCTCCAGATCATTCTGGAAGGCTGCCAAGGTCCTAAAGACGCACCCCAAACCCATTCCTCCACTCAAAGATGAAAATGATGACGATCGGCTCATAATCACCCCTCAGGAGAAAGCAAATGCGATTGGTGAGCATATTGCCAAATCGCACTTGCTTGGCTCCAACATCCAAAGTCCGCTCGAAGTTTAGGTTGAGCATTGCGCACTCAACCTTGATTCCTCCCCTTGTGCCATCCCTCCGGAGGATAGAATCACAGTGGAACAGATTTGCTCAGCGCTGAAATGCACCAAAAACATGAAGGCCCCCGGGTTTGACGGAATATTCAACCTAGTATTGAAAAATCTCAGCATGAAGGTTCACTCTCTGCTGGCTGCTGTCTTCAACAGATGCTTGGAACTGCACTACGTTCCAAGTATCTGGAAGACAGCGAAAATCATACCTATCCGCAAATCATCAGCTAGTACGGGTGATGAATAACATTCGAAGTAACAAGGCTGTATCCAAGTCTACAGCCATGGCCTTGTTAGACGTTGAGAAAGCGCTGTCTGGCACAATGGGCTTGTATATAAGCTTTGTAACTTCAACTTTCCTTTGCATCTTGTTAAAATCACCCGTAACTACCTTCAGCAAAGGTCGTTCAGAGTATCGTTGAATGGTTGCAATTCAAGCACATTTTCCATCCTAGCAACGATGCCATGACGCCTTTGCTGATTATGCCACCACTATGCCAAGGGCATAGAAAAGGCGGGCAGTTAGGTTTGGAGTGAGAACGTGTACGGTACGTGTACGTGTACGTGAACGTGGATGTGAAATAAAGAATTGTGAAATAGGGGAATTTACGTATTCTCGTCAATCTAAGCAGTGTCCGCACTTCTATTAGCATTTTCTCAGCGTCACGCACATATATGACGTGTTTGTTGGTTTACATTCATCTGCTGCTTGCTTCTATATCCATTCCAATCGACAGAATTCTTCAAAACTGTTTGAAAGCGTTTTTACAACGCTCCAAACTTCTCAGGTGAGTGTGACTATTGTCGGCAGCCTCTTTTTCTTCGGCAACCTTCCCATTAGAACTGCGTGTTAACCGTGTTAACCAGCTGTTCTATTATCGGCAACTTGAAATCAACCCCATTTTAGAGTACGTATGTTTCATTTGAATAAAAATCTGGCATAACAGGACTGCTCAGACGTACAAATACAATCAGATTGAAGCTGAAAGACTAAAGAATCGTTTGGGTGCATTCAGGGACGTGAGTTTATGGGAAAACATAGTGAAATTAACGTTTAAATTTTGGTTGCCGAAAACAGTCAATGGGTGCCGAAGCCGACATTTACCCTATTAATACTCCGCTGTAATCCTAATAATTCCTGAATATCCTGAATCTTACAAATAGTGTGCGTTGACAAATTTGACGTTCTTTTCCTGGTAGTTATTTGATGCTTTGTTTATTTGACAGCTGCGGTGGAACTTCTTCGTCTTGGAATGAATCCGTAAAACGGACATAAAGCTCAAGAATAGCAATATCATACTCAATGTGTTAAAACTGGTGATCTTAAAGTTTATAATAGGCATTACCTGCGCCGGCTGTGTTCGAATGCAGGTCAATTAAGGAATAGGTATGAATGTGTCCATGTGATATTCACTTTGTTGGAAGCCAAGAAATCCTCTGCACTTCCATGAGAAATCACCGGGATGTTGGATAAAAGGGTTGGGTTTTTTTTCCTCTGTTCGAGACATAAAACCACTGCTACCAGTAATTTGATCTACTGTCCGTAGTTTAGTGCATGTCGTATTACTCCATCACTATTGAGAAATGATAAACTCAATTTCAGTTTTGATACAGTTGTCATTTTTGCCTTCATCGCAAGGATCCGACTCTAATTGAAAGGTCCATCTATTTATATCCTTCGAAGAGTGAGAGCACCTTTTGTCAGTCAAAATTGGATTCCTTAGCAAAAAAAAAAAATAAGGAATGACACCGATAATGACCATGCATCAGAACCCTAGTCTTAACCACTTCAAACAGGGGAACTACGAATAGAAGATTAGGAATCACATACAATGAACACTTACTAACTTATTTTTTCCTTGTTTCGAGATCATCCTCGGTGGACAAAGCCGAGTCTTGTCACTATCAACAGGACTAAGATGTGTTCCTTTGATTACTGAAACATCCTGTTCCCCTAGTTTGAAGGAGTCAGGACTAGGAATCGGTGGTTGATTTTACATCCCGTAACGTGCCACAAAAAGGTGATCTTTCCACGTTACGGGGCAAAGGGTTGGGTTTCACCAGGGTTAAGTGCTGTTCAAACTGAACAGTTATAACATGTTATAACGGTTGCCAAATAATTGCAACACAGAAACCACCATCAAGATAGCGCTATAACATGTTATAACTCTGTAGTCTGAACGTACTATTAGTTTTAGCAAATGGTACGGTGGTGCCCCTGACAACAGTATAAGCCATTACGACCGACGAACGACCAATCCCGGAGACACGAAGCTACGAAAAAGCGCTTAGGCCATCACTAAATTATACTTTTACGCGAAACAGAGCTTATAAAGTCTGTGACTAATGATAAGTTTTGAACGCTCTAAGGGAAGAAGAAAGAGAAACTTGATTTAAAAATTATTGCATTCAATTTTTCCAAACACAACGTAGGGTAGAGAACTACTTCGGCCTAATCGCCCATTTTGGGCCTATCGAGCAGAAAACTTCAAATAAATCCTTGATTTCAGAGTTTACAAGTCAATTGTGCGTTTGGTACACGGAGATGAAAAACTACCCAAAATTAAGTACTTTTCCCTCAATTCCGGGGTTCAGCCCAATAACCCAAATTTGAGTAAATCGCATATAGTAGTTTCCATTTAACACCAGCAAAAAAAATACCTACTCTTAAGTATATTCTACCCAAAATTAAGTTTAATTCACGTAAACTTGAGAATATGCAATTTACTCAAAAGTAACTTATTGGGCTGAACTATATCGTTGGGTAGAATCTCTCGTTCCTTTTTTGACAACAATAGTGAGTGAGAGGCTGAAGTCAATATTAAGTAAAAAGAACTCAAATTTTGGGTTTAATTTTTTCTCCGTGTACGATACTTTAGTTTATACCGTGCGGGACCGAAATCCGTACAGCACCGAAATCCGTACACCCTGTTGAATTTGTTTATTTGTATGCATCATAACAATGTAAATATTATACATGAATACATATTCATGTTCATTCATGCATCAGCTTGATGTTTACTTCAACAATTAAGCAGTATAACATGCAATTAAAATAAGAAAAATAAAAACCTTATCACGTGTCGGGCATTTCTGTCAATCGGTTGCGTTCTTAACGATTTTCTAAGAAAATGTCTCGGATTTACTTCCAGTTGTTAAGCGTATTTAAGTGATTTTTGCAAGTAGTTTCCTGAAGGTCGATCGGAAAGGTAAGTGTTTATCGTTTTATATCTCAATTCTAAGCAATGAATCGTTCATATGGTATTTATTTATCAAAATTAGTACTGTACGGAT